ATCAGCCGGGGACTCTTAAGGACTCTGCCTCCCCTGTTAGAGGGCATACTCCTTGTGGCCCGGCTTTTCTATGCCCTGTCCCCTCTCCCCCGAAGTCCCAGCCGTGGTAAGAGGGGATCTGAGTGGTAAGGGGTCAGGCACCAGGAGATGCCTGGTCAGGAGGTCGGGGTGGGTACAGGACCCCCACCTGCTGGACCCCTGTGTGAAGTGAGGGGCTCCTTCCCTCGGGGCAGACAATGTTTACAGCTGTCTCTTAGGGATGGGGGTTGGGGGGTGAGAATGTGCAGCTGTGCCCCTGCCAGCTCCCACTGGGACCCAGACTCCATGCTTGCCAAAAAATGGAACATTTTGGGGGCCCCAAGAGGAGGAAGCTAGCAGCCTGAGGCAGGGCTGGGGGTTGGGCCCCCCGCAGGGAATTTGGTAATTGCCCCTAAAGATCTGGAAGTTGTATTTCTGGGAACTGCTTGATCTCTGGCTTGAGGAGCCCTGGGACGCAGCGGGCAGGAGTTCGGGGGGCAGAGAATTCCGGAGACCGTCCTTCTAGCTCTGGCTTCAGGGCCTGCGGGCTCCTGGGTCCCTAAAGATCTGGAGGTTGTATTTCTGGGAAACCTCCGGCTTGAGGAGCCCTGGGATGCAGCGGGCAGGAGTTCGGGGGGCAGAGAATGCCGGAGACAGACCTTCTAGCTCTGGCTTCAGGGCCTGCGGGCTCCTGGGGAGGAGCTTCCAGGATGGTCCATTTGCTCCCCACACAGCTCTGAAAGGAGGTGTCACCCCATTTTATAGATGGAAGACAGCCACTCAGGGCAGGCTCTTTGCACGGGGCAAGCAGCACAGCTGGATTCGAACCCGGACATTTCTGATCCAAAGCCTCCTAGGAGGCCGGGTGACCTGAACACACATGTGTGGAGATGGGCTGGCCCGGAAGCCCCCGAGAAGCCCTTGTGTGCTCCCCACAGCTCAGCAGAGCCAGGATTGACCTGGGAGGCGGGGTAAGGGGGGCCAGGGAAAGGCCATTCTGAGAAGAGAGTGGGCCCTTCGCATCTGCCCAGGCTGCAGTGTGGGGCCTCCGCTCTCCTCTCCAAGTCCTGCCTTCCTCCCCCATGGAGGCCTCTCTGATTGCTGCAGTCCACACCAGGGGCCCCTGCCCCGATGCCCGCAGTGCCGCCTGTCTGCCCACCCAGCTCCTGGCAGTGTAACCTGGTCCTCCTGGGTCTATGACTGACAGCTCCTCCAGGGCAGGGTTCACTGTGTCCCCGTTAGAGTGGGAGTTCCCGAAGGTGGGCGCTGCTTCTCTTTTCTCTGGCTCCCACAGAACGTCATTCTTGGGGGCTCCATCTATAGGGGTGGTCCCTGAAGGGGGGGCCAAGGCAGTGGCTGGGGAAAGAGGGGTCCTTCACTCCAGGGGAGATTCCTGCCTGGGATCCCTGCCCCTGTCACCCACCCTGGCCCAGGGGGCTGCCAGGAAGTCGCCAGCACCGAGGCAAGATGGGAAGAGGGTGGGGGAGGGGTGGGGGGGCCCAGAAGCCTGCCGCCCGCCAGGGAAACAGGAGCCAGTGGCTAAATGCAGACACACTGTCATGGTGCTGAGGGCCTGAGTCACTGCTCCTGGACGTCAGATCTCATTCCCCACCTCTGCCCACCGTCCCTCCCCCCCGCCCCCCTTCCCGGGGCATCGCCCACACACATACTGCATCCACTGGCTTCAGTGGCCAGGAGGGACCCTGAAGGTCGTCGGGGCCATCGCCCTGTCTCTGGGCCTGCCTCTCCCTTCAGATCACAGGGAGAGAAGGAGCTTCAGAGATGATCAAATGCCCTGAATCCCCAAACCTGCCAGGGCATCCAATCACCTGAAGGAATTTTGACAAACCCAGAGCCTTAACCTGCACCCCAAGATTCTAATTTGGGGCCCTGGGAAGGGACCAGGAATCTGGTCCCATCGGCTCTCCACACAGCCAGCCCACAGGCCAGTGCTTGGAAACCACCCAGCACTCAGTAGGTTTATTGAACACCTACTATGTGCCAGGCACTGCTCCCGGCTCTGGGGGACTGGTGTGAATGAGGCAGAGGTAGGCCCTGCCCCACAGCTCCCAGGCTCCCCTGACCGGACAGAAGAGGAAAGCGAGGCTCTGAGCGGTGGAGGACCAGTTGGGGGTGGAGGAGCTGCTATGGCTTTAATTAAGCCTGTTCTCCCTCCATTGCTGCTGGGGCTCGATGAAGAAGGGGGAGAAGCGGAGGGGCTGGCATGTGGGGGTACAGAGCTTTGGGAGGGACTTGCCACAGCCACCACACCCCCTCGCCGCCCTCTTCCCAGCTTCCTGGTGCTCGCAGGGCCAGGGGGTGAGGTGTGGACATGCCGGGCCTGCTGGCTGGCTGATCCTGGCTGTGCGATTGTAGCCAGCAGCTGCTGGAGGCCAGAGGTGGGTCTGGGATGTCGACGGGCAGCCAGTCCACAGGGTGGGGGGGCCAAGGTGAAGGTGGGCCCAGTCCATGCAGAGCAGCAAGCCCCTCCCCACCTCCCACACATGCTCCTATTTTGGATTGACTTGACCTGGCCTCTAGGGGCAGAGGGTGGCTCAGGCTCCCAGGATTTTAAGGAGTCATTGAAGGGCCATCCTGATTTTCGGGGGGCGGGGGTTACTTGGGGGAGGGAGGGCCGTGGTCCCAGATCTCTTGCCTAAATCTCTCAAAAGTGGCATCAGACAAAAATCCTCAGCTCTGTGCCCAGACCTTGCCCTGGTTGATTCAGTCACCGGAGTTTGAGGAGCTCCGGGTAGGGGAAAAGGCACACAGTCTAGGTCTGGGCTCAGCCTCTGCTGTGTGACTTCAGGTGAGTGACTGCACCTCTCTGATCCTCCATTTGTCATCTGCAAAATGGTGGTGCTGTCCCGGACTCACAGGGTGCTGGGAGGATGAACTGAGTTGCAGACTCAAGGGCCTGGCACGTAGGCAGGGTGTAACATGTGCTTATTTCCTCACCATGCCCCCCATGCCCTGGCTCCTACCCTCTGTTTGGGGTGCGACAAAGTCTGGGCATTTACCCAGAAGCCTTGTGGTTTGAGAGGCCGTTTTCCGAGACTGGAGGGGCTGGACACCAGGATCAAGTCTAAGTTTGTCCCCAGGCCCCGGCTACCGGAATTTCGCTACCCCTGCTCCAGCCGGGGCCTCCGCCCAGCTCTGAGCGAGGTCGGCTGTCAGGGCAGAACCGTGGGGTGCTGTGCAGGCTTTGGAGACAGGCAAACCTGGGGGGTGGCGTCCCAGCTCTGCCCTTGGCCTCTATGACCTTGACAAGCAGCCGCACCTCTTTGAGACTCCATTTCTTTAAATGGGAATAATGCCGCCCCCCTGGTTGTGTCCCAGGGGCACTCACTGATGGGGGTGGGGGGGAGGTTGTTGGCACACAGCAAGGGGGCAGCGACGACAGTGCCCCAACCTTTGCCCCAGCCCTTCCTCCTGCTCTGCTGGCTCCCTCCCCTCTCCTTTCTCTGCTCTTTCAGATCCTGTCCATACCAGCTCTGAGAGTCCAGGGCCCGACCCTCAGCCCACAGATGACCCCTCACCATCCCGCTGTGTGTGTGGGGTCTGCACCAAAGCCCCGGGTCCCCTGCCTGCAGCACGGCTTCGTGGCTACGCTAGGTTGAGGGGAGTCCTGCTCCCCGCTCCCTTTGGCTGCTCTGGGCTGCATGGCCCATCGGGCCTGGGCAGTTCCGGTTGGTTTGTCAAGGACATTCTTAACAGCCACAGTAAACCCTGGCGGGGTGGGGTGGGGCGAGGAGGGGGAAGGTGCTGATTGGTGGAACACACACCTGTGCAGGTTCACCTGAGCTGCAGGCAAAGGAGTCTCTGTTAGAGGGCCATCTGGGGCCACAGCAGGGCGGACGGACACAGGTGAGGGGCCGCTGGGTGCAGAGCTGGGGATGGACTCGGATGGGGCTGGCCAGGCCCTGGTCAAGCCGGGCAGGAGCAGAAGGGCGGGGGGCAGGGAGCCAGCACCTCATTTCGGCCTCTCCTTTTGGGCCTGGGGTTTTGCTGCCTCTGTGGCCTGAGCTGAAGCGGAGGGGGCTTGGGGATGGGCTCAGGGAGCCAGAGCCGCCGGTGGAGACACAGACAAGTGTCCAGGGAGGGTGGGAGCAGTGACCACGGGATGGGGAAGGGCTCTGAGGCTTGCAGACCTGCTTTGGCCAATCCGCTGCTGGACGCGAAGGGCACAGGCAGGAACCCCACCTCACATGCTACACGCACACGCACGCCCTCGCTGACACCCCAGGGCCCGCTAGACTTAGGTCCCTCCTGGGAGCTTTACACACGCACACACCCCGGGGAACGCCACCTTTCCTTTAGACCCGGGAAGTAGCAATATTGGAAGGGCCAGGGGGCAGGGCACGGGCATTGGGGCAGCTCCCCGAGGGTCCCCCCGCCTGTCGGCTGCCTCAGAGACCTGATGGAGGAGCTGGTTGGGCTGCGAGAGGGCTCCTCGGGGAACCCTGTGACTCTTCAGGAGCTGTGGGGCCCGTGTCCCCGCATCCGCCGACGCATCGGAGGTGAGAGCTGGGTCCCTTCCCCTCCCCTCAAAGACCCCTCAGGACCTCACCCCCTTCCCAGGCTGCAACCCCTGAAAGCCCACGAGCG